CTCTTTGTTCGTTAGATGTAGTTTCTCTCTTCACTAATGTACCGATTGATTTGGCCTTAGAAGCTGTTGCAAGCAGATGGAGATTCATCAAAATGCATACCAAGATTAGTTGCATTAAGTTTATGTTGGCGGTTGAGTTTGTTTTGTCATCCACGTATTTCATATTCAATAACAAAATTTACAAACTAACATTTGGAACACCTATGGGTTCACCATTTATCACCTGTTATCGCAGATTTAACACTCCAAGATTTAGAACACAAAAGCGTTAAACTCAATTAAATTTAACATACCATTCTACTTCCGATACGTGGATGACATAATATTGTCTTTTCCTAATGAAAAATTGGAAGATGTTTTGAATTCTTTCAATTCTGTCCACCATAGAATTCAATTTACGCATGAGTTACAGTCTAATAACCAACTAAGCTTTCTTGATTTGAATATTATCCTGATAAACAATACAATAGTTTGTGATTGGTTCCACAAATCTAGTTTCTCGGGAAGATATTTAAACTATTTATCTCAAAATCTTAATTGCCATAAAATCGGCACTATATATACGTTAGTAGACGGAGCTATTTTACTATCGGATCCTTCCTTCCATTATAAAAATTTATCTTATATTATACAAATATTGATGCAAAATAATTACCCGGTAGAACTCATCTTCAGGACAATTAACAAAAGATTAAAAGTTTTATTCAAAACTAAATTAAATAATCACTACTTACAAATTAACTCATTTGAAAATGAACAAATTAAATATTTTACAATTCCATTTATTCCTACACAACATAATAGTTTTAATCCACTCATAAACAAAATNCCAAATACAAGATTATTGTTCAGAAATTTATACCAATTAAATAAATTTATTAAAACACATAAGGATCCGATAGACAAATATCAACAGAATAATGCAGTATATTGCATTGCTTGTAAATCATGCGAGTGTACTTACACAGGGCAGACTAAAAGACAAATTAAGACTAGAATCAACGAACATAAAAAGTACGTAACAAAACAAGATCGCAACTCAGTTTTAACAGAACATTTTTTGGAAACGGGTCACTCGTTTGATTGGAACTCCCCAGAAATTTTAGATATTGAATCTAATTACTCCAAAAGATTGACATCGGAAATGTTGTACATTAAAATGCAAAAACATGGTCTCAATAAAATGCAAGATACGGAAATGTTAGACGATTT